CCCATGCAAAAGAATGACCAGCACTACTGGTTCAGGACAGCGCCACGCTGGTATGGTTGTGTGGAACCTTGTGCTGATTTAAACACAGGTCTTTGCCTTCGGTACAATACCCAAACAAAAGGTTACTATTTTTTTTTTCCAAATGTGAAGATTGTACAAAGAGAAGAAACCATAGGACTAAAATGTGGAAAGGATGTATAATTTGAAGAATTAAGTGTATAATTAGTGAAGATGGTGTTTCCTTTTAGTACACAGTTCATGTATTATATTCGATAAAAATTAATAGTACTGTATCTGTTTAAAGTGTACCTTCATACTAGTGTATGGGGTAGAAAAAATAACTCAAATACTACACCCAGGCAACAGGAAAACCATTAATGCTGTGGTTAAAAATATAGGGACATTAAGGATAGTGCCCACCTTAGGAGCTTCCAGTGGCCTTTTACTTCTTGGTGAAATGGATCCATTGAAAGGGTCAGGAATTTCATAAAGATTTCCCTTGCGTCTCCCTTCACTTTTTATACATAACGGTTACTATGTAGCTGATTCCACTCAGCAGTTTTGATTTAACAGTTCCTCTTTAACAAGGGATTGGTACTTGTTATGGACTAAGCAATGAGCAAATTCCAGTTTACAAATTGGAATAGTAGTTTCAAATTGTTTTATAACTTTACACCCAACAGGCTCATCTACATGTGCCATTAATACAGCTGAATTTTTTCTGCACAGAAAATTCAGGCACATTAAACTGTGCCTGGGCACACATCTGAATGTGCACCCGTTGGGAACAATTCAGTCCAGATGGAGCTCCAGGGTTGCAGGGGGGTGGGGATCAGGTCTGGGCTGTGGAGGAGCTGTCCCAGTTCCAGGGAAGCTCCCTCCCAGCTGCATTGATATCTGAGCCAGTGAGAGCTGTCCTGGCTCCAGGGTAGCTGCCCTGCCCTGCCCTGCAGAGGTCGAGGCTTAGCCAGGCAAAGTTGTGCCCCCTCTGCTTCCAGAGCTGACAGAAGCTATTTGCTCCCAGGTAGGGTTCACACATGTGGTACAGTGCATTAGTTAATACGCTGTTTTTCTAGTGCCTGTATATATGGGTGCTAGCAAATGGCGCATTAGACTACAGGCAGTCCTCGACTTGCAATGTTTCAAGTTGCAATGTTTCGCACTTGCAACATTTATAAATTGACACCCTATTTCAACTTTCTGACATCACTTTCGACTTTACAACACTTGATCTGAAGTGACGCTGTGCCAGCGAACAAGTTCACTGCATCGCCCATCTCCCTGGAGAATATCTGTTCAAACTTCCTTGGACACTTTTTCTTTAAGAAAGCAGCCAAGACTCCAGAAAAACCTGCAGCCAAAACTCTTGAGAAGACTCCAGCCAAGAACCCTTCAAAAAATCCAACCAAGAGCCCTTCAAAAAGTCCGGCAAAGTCACCTCCAAAGTAGTCCTTCTAAATCAATATGATTGCTATTTACAATACAAATACATTAATGTAGCTATATTACTCATCTGTAATTGACGGAGTACAAAATTCTGGGTTATTTTTGGTGAAAATAGTGTATCGGGGTTTGTGTCGGGAACCAACCCCCCATTTATAACATTGTTTCCTGTGGGAAAATCGGTTCCAAGTTGCAACGTTTCGACTTAAGACACGTTTTTCAGGAACCAAATGTGTCGTAAGTCCGAGGACTGCCTGTAATTTAATGCACGGTAACTGACGTGTGTGTGTGCAGATGGTGACACTTTACTGTGCATTAAATTAGTGTGATGTGCAGTAAAGCATCTCATGTAGCAAATGCACCCAATGAGTCTGCTTTCACATTTTGAGAATGAAGTGAATCTTTTTTTACCAGCTTAAGCTGGGAAGGGCAAATACAAAAGCAGCAATGTAATAGGATCCTAAACATGCAACATGGCAAGGACTCCCAAAGGGTTACTTTCCTTTTCCTTATTTTCTGCACTTTTTGAGTGTCTGTCACTGTGCTTGTAGACTTTTCAGGGCCCAGATTGCTTGTCTTACACAATGTCAAGTATTTTATGAAACCTTCATGAATGATGATGATATCAGGTGCCAGTCAGACCTGAAATGTCTTATTCTTTTGCGAGTTTTATGCCAGTTTAGGCAGCTCCATAGAGTTCTGTCAATATGCAGGTGTAAAAGTGGAGAATCCAGCTATCCATGACCATAACACTTTCTTCCATACTCCTTTCTTTCAGTACAGTTAAATGAAGACAGCGTTGTGTCCAATTGCTTTGTTTACTATGCATCCATTAAAAGATGTGGTGATAAAGGGTGACTGAATTTTCCAATAATTTCCATAAGCTTTCTTGGAGAGGAACTGTAATGTAGTGCATGTCCAGTTTAGTGTTGGTCTAGGGGGGCCTCAGCCTGAGTGATACTAGCCTCTTATATTAATAGCATGGTTGTCTGTGATTTGCAGGAGCCTCGGTGATCCAAATGGTACCTTTCAGGTTCACGTTCCTAATAAATACCATAGCTACCACTGGAATTCATTTTCCCACTTCTCCTTAAGCTTATTTTTAAAGAGATACTGCATCCATGTTCTGGCATGTGTCATAACTTCATGGTGGCTGGATGGTGTATTTATGCCGTAAATACGTTGTTTTTTTTACTAAAGTAGTGTTTCCACTTGATTCCAGGATTTGGGTCTTTAGGAAAGAATATGAAATACTGACAAACCTGAGATTAACATTGTTAGGTAGCGGGACAGGATGAGCATTCCAGATGGAGTCTAAAGTGCACACAGATCTTAATTGTACACGCCTGTTAGTTTGTTAGAAGGATGACTGTAATGAACTTCTAGTACAGAATACGGTTTTTAGCAAACCTAAATAACGTTTTGTATTAACTGCTGTGACGAAGTGCACTCATGAAATAATTCTTTACCCTTTTTTCCTCCCTCTTTTTTTTTTTTTAAAGAAGCCTCCCCTTTTATTATGCTTCAAAATTTGTATAGTGACTTATTGTGAGTTTCTGAGCCAAAGGTTTGGTAAAGAATACACACATTAGCTTGCTTTCAAGTTGCTGTGAGCCTTACTTGGTTGCTTGTTTGCTTTGAAAGCGAGGGTCTAGAGAGATTTCTTTTATTTCATTGCCCACTATTGTTTCCTGTACAAAGTTTTAATATTCAGACATTTTATCACCCCACTTCTTTTAAACCTCAGAGTTTCTTTTCTTTTTCCTGTTACACAAAAGAATACTTTTAGCTGATTGAGTTCCATCCATTGCCAACCGGGGATTCTTTTGTTTTGCTGGTCCAGCACCCTTTATAAAACGAGGACCATTGAGCAAGTACTCACTGGCTCCCCACTGAGCTTGATTGTGCTTGAAAGGTGTGGTACTGTACTGGTATAACATGTAAAGCTTCAGATGGAGGGCTTGAATGCATTTCAGCTTCTACCTTTTGCTTTCTGAAAAGTAGTGGGATTGTGTGCTGAGATAATAAATCCACCTATTTTTAGTTTGGTGCAGTTGTGACAAGTGGGTGAACAAAGAACTAGTTGAATGCACTCACTGTTGTGTTGAAGCCAGCTAAAAGTTCCCATTCAAGTGGTTTCAGCACAGTATAGCTAACGGGCAATTTTCCGTTTATGTACACAAACCTTCCAGAAAGGCAGCTGTGCATAGTTTTTGATTAATCTCTAGTAGTAACTTGAATAAAGAACAGTTTGGGGGATTCAAGAATCCCTTTCTAAAAACATAAATAACTTTTAAAGTTTTGTTTCTTTGGACCGGAGCAGTGATCGGTATCTACCGTAAGGCTTAAAGGACTACAAAGTGAATGCTTTCTTCCTCTGTCTGTAGACAGATAGCAGGAAATGTTTTCTTCATTTCAAAGTTATAAGCTACAATTAGGATTGGAGTACCTGCTAACACTGTGTCTTTGCTGCTTTATTGTGAATCACTGGCTTTGCTTTTAATTTGTTTAAATATGAACAAATCTTATGGTCCTCATTCATATACATGACAAAAATACAATGTTCATCTAGTCAGTGTGTAGCGTAGGTTCATTTATGTGCCAGTAGCTGTATTGATGAGACGGGGTATAGAGAGATTTATGCACAGATTGATCAGATGCCTGTTTATGTATGGATCTATGTGGGAAAAGAAGTTTTAATAATAGAGGGCTTCTCCGTCTAGCAGAAAGAGTTTTATAACCCGATTTAATGGCTGGAAGGCAGAAGATGGCAAATTCAGACTACTAAATAGGGTGCACATTTTTTGAAGTAAGAATAATAAATCCTTGGAACAATTTAGCAGGTGGTGGGTTCTCCATCTTCAAGGAGCTTTAAATTGATTGGATTTTTTTTCTAAAAGGAACTCCTGGTCAGAAGCGTGCCTGTGCAGACTCGCTCTGTGTTGCGGTCTGATTTGGTATGTTCTTGTGAGAGCCTATCGAATTTGTCAGTGATCTTCGTTGGGGAACACTATTGCAGTTAGCTCCTGCATAAGTGTTGCCATCAGTGAGGCACTTCTGTCCTTCTCCTGCGCTTCACTCGCTTTGATCCTAGCAGTGCTGTAAAATTTCCAAATCTTGCTCATGTTGAGGGTTGAGAGAGAAACTAAGTTTATCTGGGTCTTTCTCAAAACTGTATAATCCCTACGTGTGCTGGGCTTGAGGTACGTAAACCTGAGAAGTGACCTGACCTGGTGGAAGGACTATGGGGATGGGATGTAGACACTACTGAGCTTAGAAACCCAGTCTACCAATGATGGACATGGTCTTGGCAAGTCGTTCCCACCTTGGTGTATCTCCAGGTACATAATTGAGCATGTTTGGGAGGGCTAGCATCTCTGAACGTGAAGCACTGCCCAAAAGGCATTTCACGTGTCAAATGCGGTTAAGATCATGGTGTCCAGTGGAAAATTCACTCTTAAAATTCTTGAGGAGCCACTGGCATTGGGCATTCATATGGATATAGTAACCTTTTAACAGTGCTTTTGATTAATGTAGCTATATCTTTTTAATTACAGACTTTAAAAAATTCAAAAAGTCTTTGCTCTCTTGATTATGAAGAAGATGATGATGATGATGATGATGACACGCAAATGAAGACAATAGTGTCATCCCCATGTGACTCAAATGACCTTATGAACATCATCACCCCTGGTTCCAGTCCAATGAAAGAGAAGCTGGATGAAGTAAGGCATCATGGGCCATGCCAAGTTGGCTTCAACACAAGGGATTATAAGAAAGCAGCTGCAGTATGTGAAAGTGATGAGGACATGAGTGATTGTGAGAGCACTGAAGAGGGGATCTTTCCTCTGGACTGTGGGGACTTGGATCTAGAGCAGATTGAAAACAACTGAGTCTCAAAAGTTGTGTGCTAGAATCAGAGTTGTTCTAAATTAAAATGATAGTGGATTACATTTGCCATGCATAATCCATGTCCCTGAATCTCTGTATTGCCTATCTTGGGCCTGTGTTAGAAGAAATGTTTCAGGTGGGGGGAGAATAAAATTGAACCATTGTTACCTGTTTAGTCTGTTGATCGGTATGTGGATGACAACAACAACAAAGAGTAGGAAGTTAAATGTATTTTGAACATTAAGGAGTAATTTTGATTAAAAATTTCCTAAAAGATATTTTGCATTTTTATGGCTTTTACAGTTCCGGAGAAAGCATCTCTATTTTGAAATGAATTTTCAGAAGGGCACTCTATAAAACAATCTATCTACAGTGATTCTGGGGCAGGTATATGTTCCTTTTGTTTTAAAAAAAAAAAAGAAAAAAAAAAAAAAGAGAGAAAAGAAAAGAAAAAAAAAAAAGCTTGTGAGACGTGAATTACATAATTAAATTGGTAATAAACCATCAGGTGATCTGAACTCTTAAATATCTGGTTGAGAATTGGTCCAAAATACTTAACTGCCTCCTTCTACAGTGTGTGGGTATAAAACTTCATAACATGTACAAATGAATTTTTCATACATTCAAGCCTTTTTGATCAAAATGTAGTAGTGACCTTAAAGGTTAACATTTTCCATGATTTTACTACTTGAATTGTTTTCTAGCCTGAAGCAATGCTAATTGAGGTGGGATAAAACTGCAAGTAGCTGCCCACCTTCTTGGTCATTATGTTTTCTGTGGTTCAAAAGAATGTACAACAAGAGCACTTGAACTTTTAGACAGGGACTTTGTAATGATCAATTCCCCAGGAGGTGATCCCTTCAGCAATACTAGAAGGAAACTAGTCCTTGAATTAAATAAAGTGACATTTTGCTTTGCATTTTTGTGTGTTTATGAACTTTATTGGTTGGCGTGTGTAGCTTTTGGCAGACTTAGCACGGTGCCTCAGTTCAACATGGGAAAGGGAAAAGCTTTTGGATGTGTCACTAAATTCAGTCAGCAAACACTTCTTTAAATCTTATCTCCAGATATTTCTAGTATCCCCCCATAACAGAGGTTATTTTCATCACTTTTCATGTAAGAGTATATCCATCGTTGACTGCTGCAACCTGCAACTATTGCAGTGCTGCTGCTGTAATGAAAGGAGAGCTCCCCAAATGAGAAGGATTAGTTTGAGAGAGCTTTTGAATTAAGAGGAAATAGGCCTGGTAAGAATTACTTGTGGTAATTCAGGAGTTAGGAAACAGGTATGCTGCTTAAATAAAGTTGACTGTTTCACTTTCTGCAACAGAGCCACAGCATTGCAATGGAGAGCCCAGTTCCCTCTGCTAGAGCACATTTAATGCAGCCTGGGTAGTATGGGGAGGAGGGAGAAACCACATTGGGCCATGTATTACAAAGGGAAAGGAAGGAATGTTATGAAATTCAGTCTGCTGAGTTGAGTGTCAGAAACTATAATCCTAAAGAGAATTGGGCTTCAAATGGCCGGCCAGAGGAGACCTCCAAAATGCCCATACAAAATAAAATGATATGGGGCAACTGACAGGAAGCAGATGTCTCTCTTGTAATTTGGCAGGCAGTGGGGGGATACGGTGTTACTAGTTTAATAGGGGCTGGAGGGGTGCAGAGTGGGAATGAGTAGAGAAAAATATATTGTATACAAAAGAGATTGCATTGCATTGCTTTTGTACCATGATGTTTTACAGAAAATGCAAGGGAGGCTCCTCTTCATACCAAGAAGAGCCAGGCTACAGAAGAAAATGAAGCTCACCATGTAGGCAAAAGTGCAAAAACAAAGTTCTCCCTAGAAGAGCAACTGGTACTGCAGCAAGTACCTACTAGTTCTTGAATAGATCCCAGGCATGGTGCTTCAGTTCCAAGATCCCTTCTGCCATAAAGGGAATTTGCATGCACTGAGCATACTCAAAGAGTGTTCCCTGCAAAGTAAACTGTTGTTCTTCTTAAGGTGCAGAAATATGATTCGTGAAAAGCCAGCAAACCCAGTATGTGCAATACCGCCTGAAAATGTGTAAAGAGGGTGATAGTGTGGAATGGTAGAGCCATGGTGGGGCACAGAGCAGACTTGCTTGAAAATCTGATACTCTTCATTCCAGTATAATTTGTTTCTTTTCAGTAGAGCACTGCACATAAGTGAAGTTCAATGGACTTAAAGATGCAGAGTGATAGGAAAGGTCAGTAGAACAACTGGAATCACTTAAAATCTAATCTTTCCATATTAAAGCACTCCTGTCGAAACTATAAAACTGCAGGGAAAGAAAAGTGTGTGGTGACCCCAGTGGCTTGTTAATCCTTAAGGAAAAGGAGAGCTGGAAAGAAATGAGAACAAAAGAAGAAAGGGTGTGGGTGCAGAAAGCGAGGGATGGGCTGAGAAAGGAAAAAATACTTTTTTTCTTTTTTAACACAAATTAAATACTTATTTTAATGATCGGAACAGCTGAGGCATGATCTGAGCAGCAGACTGGAAGCCAGACATCTAACCCCAGATCTTAAATGGCATCTTAAGCAAGTCAGTTCATTCATCCCTTCCAGCCCTAAACTTCTGTGAATCTGTCTGTGCCTTAGTTTCTCTAGTTTCAAAAAACGAGGTTATGTGCCTCCCCTCTCAAACATACATTGTAATTTAAATATACAGGGCCATGAGGGGACTTCTAAAGTCCAGTCCCCTACTGTTGTGGGCGGCTGAATCCACGTAATCCCTTTCATGCAGTTAGTTTCATACTGAAGCACTACTTGGGCCCTTTTTAGGTACATAAATTAGGGTCACTCTTGCATCATGAAGAACTGCACAGGGAAATGCCTGCAACAGTAGCCATCCACCCTAACTTGCATTTTTATGAATAGGTGAATGAATAAAAACCTAAGTAGTTGAACAGCTGTGTAATAAAAATGGTAAAATCATGGGCAAACAAAAAAACTCTGTTGAAACAAAAATGTGTGTACTTTAAATCTACAGGGTTTAATATAATCCCAGGTAAGAGCCAGGGAGTTGAAGGAATTGCTATTTATGAACTCACTTCAGACAGTGTGTTCTCTGGAATTGCATAATAATAAAAAAGCATATAGTTCCTGCTTCGAGAGCTTTTTAAACAATGAACTCTCTACTTTTATGTATTGCATTAAATTGCAACAAGACAGGAAAAATCTCTATTAAATTGTACTGGGCAAAGGTAGTGAGTTTTCATAGATGTAAGGCTGGAAGGGACCTCAATAGATGTTAGATTCATAGAGTCATAGATGTTACGGTCGGAAGGGACCCCAATAGATCATCGAGTCCGACCCCTTGCATAAG